GGACATAGTTTATAGCCTTCCTCATGGTTGTTCCAAACAGTTTTCCACCCTTTCTATTTAGATGTAAATAGTCTTTATACAACGACTTGTCTGGAGTACCATGCAGGATAAAGTCAGAGTCATGGTTGATATAGTGGTGACCACCATCTGCACACAGATCTCTAAAACTGTTGTTGTTTTCAGATATAATGGTGTTGACAAGTTTGTCATTTCTTCTAGGTAGAATTGAAGAAATGATTATTTTACATTTTGAGTTGATGGTTTTTACAGTGTGTATTGTATCCTTCAGCTCATCAACTATGTACTGGCTGGAATCTGCATCAGATATATTATTTGTGCCAACATGAAGTAAGATTACATCTTTATCCTTTATTCCATTTGAATCTGTATCATTCATTGATATGAAGGTATTTTCAATTGTGCGTATTCTTTCACCAGAGTGAGTCTTGATGTTTACTTTCACATTAAAGTCTGACATTCTGTTCGCACTCAGGATACCTGTCATTGAATCACCCGAATTCTAGTTTTGTCGCTAGAAACCTAGTATTTGATTTACCTTTTCAAAGATGTTGTAAATGTTATTAGTTGATTTGAGATATCCTGAGGTGGTGCCACCACTTTCTTTACAGATGTAACATATTTGAGGATAGTCCTAGTTGCTATTGCTTTGCGTTGGTATCTGCGTCTTCAATTTTGTTATGTAATTTCATGTCCGAATTTAATTCCTATGTGTGGCTACTAACAGAGAACGATACACAACTATATCATCTGCAAAGAGGCCAACTTTAGTGCATTAAAGTTGGGTCCATTTTAATAGAAAAGAAATAGTGCGACCGAGTCACGCAGGACACCTGAAAATACTGGACTGTCACCATTCATTACTAATAAAATATCTTTTTTGTCTAGGTCAAGCGTTCGTCCAATAAAATTTAAAGGTTACTCCCGCTCTACCAACGAAATGCAGCTTTAGGCTTTTCTCGGTTGGTTTAGGAGAAGTCTGATTTTCAGAATGCAAAATTACAGTTACACGCATGAGAAATTGGGTTGAAAAGAACAAAAGCAATTTCTTTTGTTAATCATAATGAAATTCCTAGAACTTTTTATATCCAGTTATATAATGACAAGTTACATAATATAAAAGAAAAAATTTTTTTTCAGGGTCTCTCTACTTTTCAGGTATGCAAAATTTATTTCCCAATTTTCGAAGGGAAGTTTGAAACCCATAAGATTTTTAAATACAGCGAATTAAAAGGGAATTTACATTTTAAACAGGGCCAAAATATATTTTATGGTAATTCAAATTGAAAGATACGGCTTCTAAAACGCCACATTACAAATAGTTCTAGTTGTTCACTGGCTTATGTTTACATGTTACTGCATCTGACTAACATATTTATGTTTTTGCTTAACAATATTCATGAGACATTTGCTGTACTACTTGTTACAGATGTATGTATTATGGAATGAAGCTCAGCGTCCCCATGATGCTTCATTAACGTCTACATCCTGATCACATCGGCAGAGACGTGAATTCACAATGTTTTTAAGTACAACCACATTTGCTTGACATCTGTATCATTTTTACATTGTCTATTACTGTACTAGACCATTAGAATATATTAACTTTTAATGATGTAATCGTCCAAACAAATTTGTCAAGTACTTCTAATTCAGACCAATGATCCTTATTCCGAATATAATTGTTCCTGTACCTAATTCTGAACATGAGGTGTGTTTTTATTTTTTTTAAAAGTACATCACGAATATACAAGAAGAGAGCAGTTATTGTGCTAAATTGAGTTAAATCATATTATCTTGATAAAAATTCTAACACCACTGGTATCGTCTATTATTAAATGCATGGAATTCTGTACATCATATATATATATGACATTACCGCGTTGACGGTTCAAGTGACCATCTTGTGTGGTATTCATGAAGGTCTGTGAGAAAAATTTCGTCTTCGAGAAATAAAAGTTATATTTCTAGTTTGGTGAGTAAATTCTAACATTTTCGTTAATATGCGTATAGTAAACACATTAGATTATCAAAATCTGATGCATGAATGAATGTTGATGAATTAATAATTTGTCTTTAAACATCTTTGCTTTCTAAAATAAAGGGATACATGATGAGTTGTCTACTCTTTATGCAGTCACGCGCTGTATTGTCTGCGCTGTGCAAGGGGCTCGTTGTCTCGGTGCCCCCAATCGATTGTGTTATTAATAAGATGTTATATTACCTCAGTGATCTATTTCATAATATGCTTACAAGTGATATTGTAATGCTTTTATATCTACATTAAGTTCCAATTTATTTCAGAATGGTCAGAAACTATATCCGCAAAACCAGTAGAGGAGAAACATCATGTGAAATGGTTCAACGTAGCGTCAACCAAATAATATTCTCTAGACGGTCAAGTCGATCATTAACTGAGGAAATCGGTATGAACAATACAACCCTCGAACGGTACGTTAGGCAAGCTTTAGTAATGGGTTCCCGAGACTTGAATGTTGGTTAATGCTCATCACAACGAGTATTCTTTTAATAATTAGCCTATTAATTAACAAAATAGTGTAGACAAATGATGTAAGCATATTATGATCATTATATATACTTGTGCCATATGCTGTTAATATATCTCCATTCATTGTATTTTAGGTGCCTGGTATTCATCCATTAAATAGCAATATGTTTCAGGATACAGATTTTACTCCCGCGCTTGTGACAGACCGTCCAGATCACGTAATGAAAATAATGATCATGTTCTTTCACGATGCTATGATGTTCGCACTGTGTCTGGTCAAATAGACACTTCTACACGGCCAAGTGATTCACTGGCGGCTGTTTTACCATGTGAAATTGATCAGCATGTGTTGTGTACTGGTAGTACATCACTGGACGTGACAACAGAAGAGCTGTGCACAATGTTGAATACTGAAATGACTGATTATGAAAACAATTATTGCCATTTCTCCAACGATCGTGACATAATCAATGATATCGATAGGTTTTCATTCGGTATACAAAGAATTTGATAATTACACCATATACTTGGTTCTTTCAGCAATTTGCAATTCTTTTAGTGTATCTGCAATTATTTATCAAGAGTCACAGACAGGAGATAATATCGTTGCTGTTGGGCCTAGCAGGCCAGATAATGTTTTCACAGGTAATATTATCTAGTATTGATAGGCACATTCTACGGTCGGAATCGCACATTACAGTGGCGTCAAGAAGTTAGTTGCTGATAAAATAACCAGATTATTCACAACTGAAACCTTCGCTCCAGAAAGGATTCGTCCTTTTCCTAAGGCTCCAGCAAAAAAATGAAATGCGTGCTTCGGAAACGCAAAAGTGCAGTACTTACGGACACGCCCGAGAAAATGCATTGGAATTAGAATTCAAAAGAAAGCAACAATCTTCAAAGTTATCCGTTCAAAAGTCAAAAATCTTTTTAAGAAGAAAGTCACTCATAAAAAGAAAGACAATGGTTGCAAACCGAACATACATGAATCATCATCTGATGAGGAGAAATGGTTTTGCTTGGTATGTATGGAGCCTTATTCAAACAGCCGAGCAAGCGAGGTTTAGATCCAGTGTCAGGGCTGTAAATACTGGTCATACATGGAATGTACAAATGTACCAAAAAACAATGTCTACATTTGCCACAATTGTGAATCAGATGTAGTATCAAATACTTATTATATAATTAGACATAGTTTATAAGCTGTATTTAAAATACACAAAACTACATTTGTATGTAATTCTTTCTATTAATTGTATTAATGCAAAGTCTCCCATAATGACAAAACTTGATATTTTGTTAGCGTCATTTTATGATAATCATAAATATACAATGCAAAATACATGATATTACAAAAGTCATTTTATAAATTATTACAGATGTTATGATTGAAAGATATTTTTATTTATGTGAAGGATTTCAAATTTGAAACACATTCTTAAATTTTTAATACATTTTAATACAAGTATTTTCATCATACAATTTAAATATCAATAAGTTAATCGACAAACATATTTGAAAGCATAAAGATATGCAAATTAAATAGACTGACATTGCTGTTTACAAAATCTAAAAGTTTATTTCTACGTAAAATTGCTCATTATTACTGCAATGATAAACTGTGTTAGTGCACGGCTTTAATATAAATGTAACAGGGTTTTATTTTTAAGATCAGGTCTAAGGGACAATACTCTTGCTTAACTGTTAAATTTTATAATTTTGCAAAGGGAGACAAATCCGCCGGTCTTGTCTGATACCTTTCAAGGGAGACTACTCTATTGGTTTTAACTAATTTTATCTTATGTTTACATTGGTCAGTATTCTAAGAATTCAAATGATTGGTTCACGGATCATTGGTTTTAAGTTATTTTTATGTCATGTGATTTCTTGGTGGGAAAAGTGTTGTTGGTTTGTACCTTAACTTAATGTAACCACCATACAGTAATTAAAAAATGAATTAAAATATATAAATGATATAACTGTAAAGCTGTTTGTTAAAATAATTTAATAATCCCAAACTTACTTAACCCTCAGGGGCTCAAATAGTTATATTTTAAATTGCGCCAAACCACCCCTATTACATAAATCCGTGGTTAGAGCTAACAAACTTTCTTTACTAAATATATGTTATAACCTTTGATTTGCAATTTTTTATTCTTTGGGCGTTAATTTCATAATCTTCTTGCCCAGAGTCCCAAATCGCTTACAATTATGTCCCATCACTGGGGCTTGTTGATGCGTCGCCGTGGTTTAAAGCCGTGGGTTAATTGAGAATTTCAGAGCATCAATAAATACGTACTCCGCGGTGCAATTTGATTTTTATGCCGTTTAAACAATTTTAAATTTCATTATTATATTAGACATGGTTTTGCACGTGCATATTGTGTCTAAGGGCGATGTGGAGAAATGCACGTACCGTACCGGAAATTAGGATAAAATTAGGTATAAAATTAGCATACAATCAACAGCCAATCAAATTTAACGTGAGAGACGCGCGATATCAAAATGGCCGAAAATCACCACTCGAATATTTTTCCACCAGCGGAAAGTGTCAAAAATGAAGCTTACGTTAAAAGTATGGAACAATACAGCGAAATGTATCAAAAATCCATTTCAGATCCTGAAGGATTTTGGTCAAAAATTGCCGAGCAATTCTATTGGGAATCCGGAACGACGGGGAAATTCCTCGATTATAATTTTGACGTAAGAAATGGACCAATTTACATTAAATGGATGGAAGGAGCTAAAACTAATCTCTGTTACAATGCGGTTGACAGACACGTTGCGAATAATTTAGGTGACAGGGTGGCATTTTATTGGTAGGTCATCTAAGTTGAAGAAGATCGTTTACTATTATTTATGATCAGTGACGATTTATGCCGGTAAAGGGAAATAACTCTAATCAACTCTACAGTAGCTCATTAACTTTATTTGAAATTTATTATTTTAAGATATTAAGTGGTATAGAATTGTCAATTCAGCCACAGAAAGGGTTGGTGATCACTAGCCTAATTAAGCAAGAAAGGTTTAAACAATCAATCTCACTGTCCTGATATTAATAAATGTTCATTTTCAGGTTTGAACGTTCTCCAATTCACACCAAATGTTTCTTGTAATTTGTATACAACTTAAAATAAAGTTTTTTGTTAATTGTATCCGGTGTGCACTATTCATGCATATAACACTCATGGGAGGGGTTATCAGTACTCTTAAACCATTTCCCTAATTTTAACTCATTTTCACGCATAAAAAAGTTATCAGCAAAACTGTTACTAGCACAGGCGCTAGTCACATAATCAAATATTTTACATAGCCGGTCTATATATGTATATAAAGATATAAGGCCCCTAACAAAACAAAAACATCATGCGGAACAAGCAAGAACACTGCTGCAAGAAACGACCAGATCACGGTTATCTCTTTCTGGTCGCCATCTGAAAGCATCAATCCAAATGCCAACGCTTTTTATTTCATTAAAATCCCTCAAATAGCAAAGAAATTGGGAAAAGTTTCGCAAAATGCCATTATTTTCAATTCATGTCGTTTTCGACGTCCATACCATTCATGTATACAAACACGATTTCTGGTCGATTTTTACGAAATAAAAAAAAATGGCTAGAATTTCCACGTACAAACTCTTTTCCTTACGTTCCATAAACAAACTCTTTTTCTATCGATCTGCGAAGTCTTAACTGATCAAAAGCCCGCTTCATACGTAATTCATTAAAAAATACACAAGGATCCCGCTTGTGACAGTATTTTATCGCCATGTATAGCGCGTGTATATACTGTTCCGCTCCGAATATTATATAAGGATTTGATTGTTTGAGATAATTATCGGAATACTATTGACCAATCGTATAATACCAGACCTGGGGTAATCATTAACTGTAATCATTGATTTTGTAATTGATTACATGATTACACTGTAATCATCATGTAATTGATTACCTTGCCCAAAACTGATTACATTAATTGTAATTAATCAATTACAGCTTAAATTCAGTCAGTAATTATGATTACATTTTGATTGACATTGATTACTTTCAGATTTTAAAAGGAAACTATTTAAGTTCAAAGGATGCCTTTATTTTACATTATACAGTTTAACTTTTGTTTTTTAGTTATACAGTAAAAATCCTCAATTAGACTGATAAAAGTGAACATTCTTATCATTGCTTACATACTTTAAGACCATGGTCTACTTTAGTCATTTTGTATGAATAAACAATATGTTTATTTATATGTATCTACAAATACATTATAAAAGAAACTATCAAAGAATGCTTTGATATTTAATCTGATAAAAGGAAAACATATTTCTGGAGAAATTTAACGTTAATTTTACAGTATCACTTATTATATGATGTACATAAATCAAATGAAAATTTAAATGTTCAAAAAATAAATGTGCTGAAAGCAACAATGTACCACTCTAAAATTGACCTTCTCACCTAATTTCATACAATAACCCAATAACAGTTTTTCACACCTTGTGAAATCAAGTGTCATGCTAAAGAGCATTCAAGCAGATCATAACAACAAATTTAAGATCTAGATAGTTGTTGACTTCAATATCAGTGATCTCAATAGTCACATTAAAATTAAAACAAAAAATTGGACTGACTAATAATGGTGGTCTTAAAAGTGAATAAGCAGGGGGTTAAATCTGGATCATGAAACCATTGACTTAAAGAATCTTTTTTAAAAATGGTCTTAATAGCAGGGTGGTCTTAATTCTGGGGTGGTTTAATGTACATTCAATGTAATCAATTATCAATCAATTACTCTCTTAAAAGTAATTGTAATTCAATTGATTACAGAGGCAAATGTGAGTAATCAATCATAATCAATTACAATAAAATCTGAAAGTAATTGTAATTTAATCAATTACTGATCAATGTAATCATCCCCAGGTCTGTATAATAATACTATTTCTTTGCTTCATTTACCTGTCACTTCAAAATCAAAATGGCGCACTTTACTTGACCTCCGCTTCTACAACCAATATTTTTTAAATATTTGCGTACAAAGAGGGCTCTAGTTCAATTTAGACTTCGCAGTTCAATTTAGAATTCGTAGATTGATAGAAAAAGTGTTTGTTTATGAAATTTATGAGGAAATTTTTAGACGTTTTCTAATTATTTCGTAGAAATCGACCAGAAATCGTGTTTGTATACATGAATAGATTGGACGTGGAAAACGACATGGATTGAAAATATTGGCATTTTGTGAAACTTTTACTCATTTCTTTGCTATTTGAAGAATTTTAATGAAATAAAAAGAGTTAACACTTGGATTGATCCTTTCGAATGTGGACCAAAAAGAGATAACCGTGATCTGGTCGTTTCTTGCAGCAGTGTTCTCGTTTGTTCAGCATGATGTTTGTGTAATGTTGGAGACCTTATATCTTATTATAGTATATAGCCCATATAAAACTTTAAAAAGTTTGTTACAAGCATCTGTGGTTACTAGGTTGGACTTATTTCAACTATTAAAATCAGAAAACATTTTTCAGTTCTTCTGAAAAGAAAAAAATCAGAATATGTATTTTGTTATCTCAATCAAAATCTTACTCAATGATCAGTCCTCATAACTACTGTTAAAATTTTTCTCAAAACTACTGAAGGTATTTACTTGAACCTTGAATAAGTCTTCAGGATCATTATTGGAGATCACTGTTGTATGGCCCATAACTTCAGCATGACAATCAATAGCTCTCAGTTGGGCAATCCCATGGCTGTATTGTTTATAATCAATTAATGAGAAAGGTGGAGCTCACATTCTGAGTCTGTCTGCCTGTTTGACTTTATATTTTCTCAGTCTTGACTCAATGTATTATGTCTTTCTTTTCAGGGAGGGCAACAGTTTAGATGATGATGGCCAGATAACCTTTAATGAGTTAAAGGAAAGAGTGTGTAAATTTGCTAATGTCTTAAAAAGCCTAGGTAAATCTTCAGTCATATCATTTAAACTATTACTTTATACCTAACGGCCAATGAAAAAAGTTTAATAGTTTGTTCATTGAATGTGTATGTTTTTTCAAAAGCATTATAAAGTACACAAGCATAAGTACACCTGCTTAAACATTATTTCATTAAATGTGATTAATCATAATGATAAAACAGTCAATGATTCATTAAACTCAATTTAAAGTGAACTCAGTGTCTATTCTAGGAGGGGGAATGGGGGAGATTCACTCATTTTTTAAGAATTTACCCCTATTTTTTTCAGAGAAGTGAAAATTTTATATAGAGTAAAAAGGGAAATAATCAACAATTAATAAATTCTCACTTTTTGATAAAAATTTCCCGTTTTTCAAATCCTAGAATAGAGGCCGTGAACTAGTTTTTGTGTCGTCTTGGCGACATATAGGGGTTACTTTTGCCAGCGGTGTCGACATCTTTGTCAGCTTCTCCTTAAGCTTGTCAGGAGCATAAGTCAGTCATTGAAAGTCGGATTGACTTCAAACTTGGTATGCATGCTACTTTTAATGACCGGAAGTGCAGTGCACAAGAACTGGTACTCTACACTTCTTAATTTTTAAGTAATTGCCCTTTGTTAACTTTCATACTTTATTCTTGTCTAGGCCATTTCTCCTAAAGTATAAAAGCTATGGACTTGACACTTAACAGGATGCACGGTGTCAAGGGTATACGCATCATTTTTCCGCGTACCGCCTATAATCTATCATCCTGCGCGCAGCACCGTATCATTCTTACGTAATCTTCTGAAAAGTTCAAGAGGTAACTTCAAAAATGCGACAGTTTCTTTCTAAAATTTATTTTATTTAGAGAGTTTGCATACACCACGGAACTTTTGAATGATTCATCTATGTGTGCAAAATATTTTGCAACACTATTTGTCTATCATAACCTAAAACTAATGAAAACACTTTTATACATGTGAAACATTTGTGTTCTTGATGCGAACATTTTTCATCCTTTTCCGAAAGTAAAGTTGTCGGAAGAAGTATCATATGTCAAATGATCACAAAAAGCATTGATGCGAGCTGATTACATACAAATTTTTATACAAATTATGCAAAATAATGTTGTAAAATCAAGAAAACTTTGATAAACATGGTACCGCATCATGCAGAACCATGGCACCGTTTCTTTTGCGCGCGTAATACTGCATACATGTGTACTTAAAAATGTGTTTAAAACTGTTTTTTTGTTGTTTTTTTTTTTGGAGGGGGTATTGTTACTTTTATTGTAGGATTGACAAGAAAAGGTAAATGTTTGGTTATCGGTTAGGGTAAGCGGGGCAGTTGATTACCTGGGCCTGAAAGCAATCTAGACCTCTATTTGTTTTTTTTTAAAGATAATTTTCAAAATTCTATGCTTTCGTAGCAGTTGCATTTTATGTCTGTTGTGGAGTTTAACTTTTCTTTGGACTTGGGAATTGCATAATATTTGCTGATATCAGTAATTGAACTTTTACTCTCAAATTTGTTAATACAACACACAAGCAAGCCAAAGCTCATATTTCTAAAATAGTATTTATTTTTTACATTTTGAATTTTAGTTACCTTACTAATTGACTGGGCAACGTAACTTATGCCATGTTACTGAATTTAAGAAAGGTGGCAACTATGTGCTTGATTTATCCTCCCTGTATTATTTATTATACGACCATACCCCAGCAGAGCTATTTCAAAAAGTGTCTTCTTACGTCTGTAATATATGGTGGCTGATTTGGTACATTGCGCGTTGCGTTTTCGGTATCGTTATTGCCTTTTCGTCTTGTCGCTAACGACAACACGACAAAGCGCCAAACAGCGCATTGTCGCGCTCTCGGTCTTGTCGTTCTGCCTCTAGTGAAGCACGCCAAACGGCGCGTGGACATGTGGCGTGATGACGCCTGTTCGCTTGGCTTATAAGCAAATCCTTCGATTTGAACCGAGCGACAATGTGACATTGCGACAACACGCCGCATGACAAACGCACCGTTTGGCGTACATCGTTAGCGACATGACGACAAGACGAAAGCCCGACAATGCGCCGTTTGGCGCTTTGTCGTGTTAGCGCTAGGGTGTTAACGCACAAAAGAATTCCATATCAGCCATTATAGTAAGAAGATACTTTTAAATAACCGTTACTTAAATCATTTTGCGAATCGAAATATAACAATTTTCGCGATTAAACTTAATTTTCGCATGTTTTATTAGAGAGCTGTAACTTATTTACAGTACCAGTGACTATAGAGAAAGTCCACGAAATAAAAAGAGTTAAATCTCGCTTCTTATCTATTAAGAAGACCCAGTGCGCTGCTTGATAGTAAAACAAAAGCCTTAAGATTTTTCAATAAGGGCGATAGTTCTGTCAAAATTCACAATTACAATAGCTCTCCCTATTTTTTCGAATAGTTGAGCTAAATCAAGAGATTAAGTCAATCTTAACAGGCGATATTTTAACTGTCTCAAACAGGACACTATAGAAACCGATGGAAAGTAGTGTGCATCTCATGAGAAAGTCCAGTTTATCGTGAAATTGGATGGCCATTTCAGGAACAAAGTAACTGTTGATTTTAGCATTGACGAAAACTAACAGTTGTTCGTTTGAAGATGGTACACCACATAGTTGTTTTTTATATCGTCTGACATTTTTAAAAAAAAAAAACATTAAAAGGACTCCACTGAGGTTTAAAAGCCAAAATCATAACATTCGAATTTCTTACATAAATGAGCTGGGGCACTTTAGACAGAAATATATGCAAATATAGTTAAGAAATATGCTTTGAAATTAATTGAAAATTGTATTTATATGCTTTTCTTAGTCCGATTTGAGTGTAAAGCGTTTTAAACGCTTTTCATTTTGTGACATTTATTTACAATGTGAATAGTTCTTCTGGAAAAACGAAGTGCGCGAATGATCTGAAATTTTGCACAAAGATTAGAGGTCTAAACCTACACCAAATGGTACATTTACATGGAAAAAAAATTCAGTCCGATCATATCAAAAAACCTCAGTGGAGTCCCTTTAAAGAGACATTTACAATGTACTGTACCCACCGCCCCACACACATAAAAAACAACTGCCATAAACGGCGAGCATTGCGTTAGCGTTAAGGTAATCATGTGAATAAGGAAACTTACTAAATTTGGGGTCCAAAACGTAATCCATATAACATTGACGCAAAGCAAGTTAGAGACAATTACATACTAGTAATCGATTTTAGTAAATGTGACATTCTGTTAATTGATGGCAGCCATTTTTAACATTGTTTAACATGAATGAAAGTGAATTATGTCCGATTTACTAAGTGCACGAAAGTTCCGTGCGAATACAATTTACCTACACATTTCACTGCCCAAAGCTTAAAGGCCATGCAAATAGTTTCTATAGCTTTATATTTTCAACGTGAACATACATAGATCTATTTATAATCAAATGTGTTTTTTATTTATAATTAAATGAGTTATTAATTTATCGGTTCTTTACAATTCAATGTCGTATAATTCAGATACAGTTACTCATATTTTCTTCAAATTGTCTTCTTATGTCTTTAAGAAGACACTTTTTGAAGGAAAACTCGTACTGTATCCATTACATATCTGTGTCGGCATGCTTGAATTTTTCCTTGTAGTTCCAGTTATTGATAGACTTTTATAAAACTTATAGATAGCTTTAAGCACAACGCTCATGAAACATGGGATGGCCGCTGGCGGGGTTCGAGCTCACGCATTGACAAGCGATGCCAGAATTCCAAGTCCGACGTTTCAGTCTAAAAGTCACGGGTTCGATTCCTTACTCTTCCAATGTATTTACTCGAATTCTTTTACCTAAAAAATATTTTATTTATAAATATTTCATTTACATGATAACTGACAAATATTAAATTGCACGGATTGAGTAGAAAGCTTGAAAATCTTGTTTTTTTAGAAACTCTCACCGTAAGCACTATCTCAAAGAGTATGTATGAAATGGTGACAATTAAATATCTATATTTGTGGTAAATATACATAACATTTTCACTAAAAACTTGCTTCTTTACATGTACAAAAATGTTAGCAATTTGCACTCTGGTTGTGTTAATCGAACCGATCTTAATAATAAAGTATCGACTCGAAATTCTTTTCGAATATGACCGCGGTCCCACGTGTTTTAGTTTTATAATTTTATTGCATATTTTGTACATGATTAATTTACACAATCTAAAATCAATATCTTAAGCATATTAAAATATAATGTACATACAAAAGGGTTGGACCAAAAGTTATACCAACATTATCTAGGGTCCTTCCCTGAAGGTCTATCTTGTTGGCTTAATGGTAATATGGTAAGTAAATGTGGTTTTTTAGAAATTCTGAGATATTTATTTATATGATAAGCGATATTAATTTCATGTATTTTAACTTGGTAAAAAAGAATCGCTTCACCTAAAAAAACAAAGTAAATTACAAAATGACTTAAAAAAATGTATGCCATTAACAATTTGCCACTATAATAATTGCACGTGTTTACGCCGGGCACACAAAAAAAAACAGGTTTGCTTCTACTGGTTCAAAAATAATAAATATACATCTAAAGGCCTCGCCCAGATGGGCAACAATAAATAAATACAAATAAGATTTTTTCACCATTAGGTTAATCATCATGATGCGGTGCAAGTCTAGCGCTAATGTATACGGTGCCACAATTTTCGGTGCGGACCCATGATACGGTACCAAGAACTCGGTCAGTTGTCACACTTTTATGACTTTTTTAAGAAACTAAACAGCTTAAATTTGTGTGCAAGAGTCTGTGTATATATATCTTTGACGCTATCAGTTATATTAAATAAATACTTTGAGTGACAACATAATTATCTCTTTTAGAAGTTTTTCAAATGCTCATTTTTCCCAAGCCAGCTCTAGCTGTTTTCATTAAAACAAAGAAATCGTAAAAGTCTTTGATAAAAACTAGCTAAAGACATAAGCTTCAATGATCATAATATTCCGTAGACACACTTTAATGAATACACTTACTTCAAAAATGTGACTTTCAGGCCGTTTTCCATCATGCATGTTATGTTTACGTGTTTGTTTTGTCTAAAATGATACGGTGCTGCGCGCAGGATGATAACTTTTCGACGGTACGCGGAAAAATGATGCGTGTACCCTTGACACCGTGGGATGATAGATCTCATTAAGAAGAAGTGCAGTGCACGAGAACCGGTACCCAGCATTTCTTATTTTTGAGTTATTGCCCTTTATTAATTTTCATACTTTATTTTTGTATTTTTGTCCAGGACATTTCTCCTACAGTATAAAAGCTATGGACTTGAAACTTCATATGATGATAGATCTTATCGATAAGAAGTGCATGCACAGAAACTGCTGCTCTGCACTTCTCTTTTTTTGAAATATTGCCCTTTGTTAATTTTCATATTTCATTTTTGTTCTGGCCATTTCTCCTAAACTATATTCTTCACAAGGTGACCTGTTATAGTCTAATTCTTTTATCTGAAATCAAAATGGCTCAATTTTCAACCTATTTTTAACATACTGAAATATTGCTTAATCTTTTAATTACAAAATAAAATTGACAATGACAATGAATTTATTTGCAATGTAAGGCCTCTGGTCCAAAATGCAAGTAGTTAGTCATTAACATATGAATATAATGCCATTTTTTTCATGTTTAACAATATATCATCTGAAATTGATCTCCACTGAAGTTGCACTTTACTTGTTATATATAATTTCCAATTAAAATCAAGTGCATTCATTATTCAATGTAACAGTCATTAGTCATATTATATGTATAAATATTTACATTAAGGTTCAGCAATTTTCTATAAATGTTCATGTTTTTAACCTACGGTATAACCTGCTGCAACCAAAAGTGATCAGCCTTTGACACCAGTATAGAGCCATGCCATCCTGCACATCTGTGCAGTCTGACCAGACTCAATACTGTTGGCAGCTAAATTTTTGTATTTTGATATTGAAATCCCTTAACATTAGAAGACGAAGCTAGACAGATCCATTATAGAAATATAGCAGTTTAAGGGTTAAATGTACATAAATTATTATTTAATCACCATTGAAAATCATCAATATTTTTTCGTTGAGAGAATCCATTAACTTTAATTATTGACAATATATTTGGCTAAGGCAAAAATACTGTTTTCACTTTTATCTGACCTGATGTTAATAAAGGTTTGCTGACATGGTAATATAGATTTCCATTTCTTCCTGAAATACATTTCAGGCAATGTGTTATATAATGGGCAAATTAGTTAATAAGAAAAATGTGAATTTCATTCTCAATAACAAACTTGGTTCTGTTTAATCAATATTGATTATATACCAATAGTATCTATCCACTTTTGTGTATTGTCCTTTCTCAATCATAAGTTCATGGCTTGAACATCAAAAGTTTGAGAGTGTGCATTTTAGTTTATATGACAATTGCATATAGTTTTAGTAAACACTGAAAAATACGTTAAAATCTCTCTACTAAGATGGGTACATCTCAAAGAGTTTTCTTTCCATGTCAGATTGTAAGCTTGATTATCCTCACTCAGTCTGCACAAAAAACTTTTTATGGTCATAGACATTCGGGCTTCGTCCATCAAAATATCAAATAGCCCGAAACAAATTTAACTAGCCCGAAAATTCTAACAAAGTTGTGGCCTGGTTTGGTGTCATAGCTTACTCATAAAAAAATCAATATGCAAATCCTTCTTGGTCATTATAAATACAACGGGTGTTAATGATTCTATATATAAATTATTTTGGAAAATTTTCGTGCCAAAACCTTGAAAAAAATCAATTTTTCCCTCAGTCATGTGTATGTAATTTTTTCGGGCCTCAAAACATTGATAGACTGTCAGACTATTTCCCTACATTTTATGCTAGCCCGAACAGAATTTTACTAGACTGGGGCTCGGGCTTTGCTTATTTTTCGCAGACTGCTCACTTTGAATGGTTTAATTTCATTTTAAGTTCGCTATTCAATCTAAGTTATATTGTTATTTAGATAAATACTCTTGTCACAGGGCTTTTTTTCCTTCTATAACAGGGGCCGATATAAGGCCCCTTCACAATTCAAAATTGCACTTTTTTTTCACAAAGTGGCGGAAAAAAATTCACAATTTCAAAAGAAATTTCACAAAAAATTGGGACTTTGTCTTTGTTTACCTTCCGGTAAAACAAGATTTACGCAAATTTTAAGAACACAGAAATAGTTTTAATCAAGTTAAATGGTTTTAGCACATGTTAAGCGGGTTAAAGTACCAACTTGAAGCAGATTTTCCGGTTTCATAATGTTGCTAAATGCCAAATAATATGGAATTTTTTTTCACAATTTTACGACAAATCACGCTTTTTTTCACAAAATGAACAGGTCCAGGCCCTTTCACAATTTTGACAGAAAATGCCCTGTGTCAAGTCATTTGCTGTTTGTTTAAATGACTAATTTATTGTTGTTGTTTTTTTTCAGGTGTTGTGAAAGGTGATAGAGTAGCAATTTATATGCCAATGATAATAGACATTACAGTTGCTATGTTAGCATGTGCTAGACTGGGTATCATTCACTCTATTGTGGTAAGTCTTCATGTATCTGTAATTTTAGTTGTTGATTATTTGTATTTCATATACTTCATATATTATTTGTATTTCATAATACTTTTCAGGGTTCCCTCTGGGTCAAAATTAGTTTGCGCCACCAAATTCGCCAATCAGAAAAAGTTGGAGCCAATGGCTCCAAAGTTGGAGCCAATAATTCTGCAAGGGAGACATGCCTATCTTTGCTAAGATATGCTTAGCAGTTATATATCATTATGATTACAAACACATATTTATAATATTTCATTTTATTACAGCTGCACATGTTTATTATCTAAAATATAGACATACTATTATGTGGTTTTCAAATTCTATTTAAATAAATACACATGACAGCATAAATGTAATCAAGAACATCATGTTAAGTTAGTCATCCTGTTTTCCACCGTTTTGCCAGTAAAGCAGTTCTTCTCACAGGCTGGACTGAGCCAAGATCTTTCACAGCTTCTACCCGACAATCTGGTGATCTACAGATACAAAATAAAAAAAACAAAACATTACTATAAATTGACTTCATCTAAAAATCAATGAGAACAAAATATGAAATAGATACTAAGTATTTTTAACAATGAAAAATATTGTTTATTTTAATAGGGTTTGCATATGAATAGACACTTCAGCCCTTTACAATCAGATATGAAAATATTAACATTGCAGTAACAGTGGCTTTAGATCAATCATTAGTGAAATTATTCTTTTAATTGTCATCCGATTTAATATTCAAACTGTAATTATTTGAGTCAACTTACCTAAAGTTTAAGGTTTGTCAACATCACGGACGATCTTTCACTTCTCTGTTCGCTACTAACACCTGTTGACCACACATGTAATTATCAGTGCTCCAAGTCGTAAATTGTTCCAGTTAACAAATTACCACTCTCATCTTCACATGTTCCCAAAGTGTCACACAATTGATGACATAATTGATTATACGGTACCGATAAACAAACTAATAGCGCGTTACCTTTCACATTTGGGCCGCTTATGTAATTGACGCGGCCGCTTATGACATTTAAGTGTACTAGTTGTCGGATGCTTTTATCTTACGTTGGCGCCAGTAAAATTCGCCAATTAAAGATTTTATGCGCCAGAATTAATATTTTGTCGCATTTGGCGCCATTGGCGAGCGACAGCGGGAACCCTGCTTTTAACTATAAAATTTACTATATTTAGCTTGATATTATAAATGTATTTTCATGCATTCGGTAAGAATTGTATGTTTGTTTTATATGCTGATTTTTACACAATTTTGGTAATATCCCTGCAGTTGATCACTCTGTACTCTGTACGTCTACTATCTGCAATCATATGTAATGCAGAAATTTGATCTTATAGTATTAAATTACAAATTCTGTGCTATTCCTGTATAGTTAAACAGGCTGCTATTTAAATGAAATTTACCACCTGTTATCATTCTGTTTATTTTTAGCTCACCTGAGCATATGCTCAGGGTGAGCTATTAGGATCACTCTTCGTTCGTCGTACGTCGTCCGTCGTACGTTGTCCGTTCACACTTTTCAAAAGACATCTCCTCTGAAACCATAAGGCAGATCATAATGAAACTTCACAGGGATGTTCCTTGTGTGAAGCCTTAACAAAGTTGTTCAAAGAATTCCATTCCATGCAAAACTCTGGTTGCCATGGCAACCAAAAGAAAAAACTTTAAACATCTTCTTCTAGAAAACCCAAAGAGCTAGAGCTTAGATAATCTTATCTCTCAAACAGAACACAACAGGTCTCAATCTCTGGCAAATTATCAAGTGCTAAAGAAATATCATCTGGAGTCCCTCAGGGTTCTATACTTGGCCCCGCTCTATTCATTCTATATATAAATGACTTGCCTTTAAACCTTCCAAATACATCTACTGACATGTTTGCAGATGATACAACTGTCACCTCATTTGGATTGTCTATTGACTCAGTCTACAGATCGCTACAAAATAGCATTGACATCATCTACGACTGGTGTGCAAGAAACTCTATGCTACCAAATCCTCAAAAAACAAAAGCAATGATAATCTCCCCATCAAATATCATTTACAACACCATCAAATCAAGCAATGATTACATTTTGAAAATGCAGGAAAATGACATTGAATTTACTAACTCTGAAAAATTGCTGGGAATTCATGTGGATCATAGATTATCATGGAACTGTCAAATTGAACAGCTGATTAAAAAATGCAACTCATTACTGTATCTTCTCCTCCGTATCAAACAGTACCTTAACAAACAAATGAGAATAGTTTTCTATAATGCATACATATTACCACACCTTGATTACTGCTGCACTATTTGGGGAAATTGTAATGATGAATTACTGAACAGCATATACAAATTTCAAAAGAGAGCCGCCCGTATCATACTTGACAAAGACATTGATACCCCTTCAGAAATATTGTTTCATGAATTGAATTGGTTAAAAATACATGACCGCATCCATTATAAAAAAGCAATTCTTGTTTACAAATCCATTAACAATCTATTGCCACATTATATGTCTGATTTATTTTCACATACAAATCACACACCTCTGAGATCAAACACTCAACAGACACTACATATACCAAAACCTAGATTAGAATTTTGCAGAAAAGCTCTTGCTTACTCTGGGCCTAAAATCTGGAACAAAATACCATTACATATCAGGCAATCAAACAGTCTTCCATTATTCAAAAAGTCATATTTAACATGGTGGTTCTCTGGTGGAAAAATCTGCTTAGATGCTATACATGTATAAATATTTGTTTTTATATTGGTTGAATATTTTTGTTAATATGTATGTAAATTTTCAATTTTGTTACCATTCAATTCAATGTTGAATTTTTCTTTTTTTAAACTATGTCAGTGTTGATGTATAATAATGAAATCTACTTGTGATATTATTCAATCTTTTATTGATGTATTATATTTTGTAAATTGTTTTGTATATTGTTGAGGCCCACAGGGAAGACTGGGCTTGCCCAACTGTGTTGCCTCATTAAATAAAGTCGTTACTTACTTACTTACTTACTAGATATTTGGCATGAAACATCTTCTAGTGAGTGTCTACCAAGTTTGTTCAAATAAAAGCCCTGGGGTCAAAATTGGCCCCGCCCCAGGGGGTCATTGATTTTCCCTATATCCTGGTTGTACTATCTACCGGGAGTGTAAGCCTTATTAGGCCCACCATCATGTAATACAGAAAAAATCTAGGATAAAATAGTTATTTTCTGTAGGAGGTACCATTTTTTGACAAAAGTAACAATCATCCAAAAGAAATTTTAACTATACATCAAAAAGATAGTTCTGTTAATAACCTCATATGAGTGGCAGCCATCTTTGTTTTTAAGTACTTAATACCAGGAATGACATTTAAGCAATCAATAAAAAGTTAAGAACATATGTAAATGGTCCATTACTGTTAATGATACTAAAGTTCTATTCAATATTTATCAATTACCACACAGTAAAAGAGTAACAATTTGATAAGCATTGCACACACATTCAAAATATCATGTTGGGTCCAAATCGTTATCAATATTACTGGTTTTTATACTAAAAACACATTTATGTGAATAGGGTTATTAAAACTTTGAATTTTCTTCAAAAAATGCTATATTGTGTATGAAATTAATGTGAAAAACACTTGCATACAAAAGTATTTTTTTATATAAGTATTGTTTGTAATATCTGGACATTCCCGGTACAAAGTACCTCCCGGTATAAAGTACCCTGAGGATATGCATATAATAAAAACTTAAAAAAATTTCTTTTAAAGAACCCAAAGAGCTAGAGCTAAGATATTTAGCATGAAACATCTTCTAATGGGTGTCTACCAAGTTTGTTCAAATAAAAGCCCTGGGGTCAAAATAAGCCCCGCCCCAGGGGGTCATTGATTTTCCCTATGTGCATATAGTAAAAACTTAAAAAAATCTTCTTTTAAAGAACCCAAAGAGCTAGAGCTAAGATATTAAGCATGAAACATCTTCTAATGAGTGTCTACCAAGATTGTTCAAATAAAAGCCTTTGGGTCAAAATTGGTCCCGCCCCAGGGTGTCATTGTATTTAACTATATGTGTATAGTAAAAACTTAAAAAAATGTTCTTTTAAGAAACCCAATGAGCTAGAGCTTAGATGTTCAGCATGAAACATCTTATGGGTGTCTACCAAGTTTGTTCAAATAAAAGCCTTTGGATTAAAATTGGCCCTGCCAGGAGGTGGGGGGTGGGAAGGTCATTGTTTTTCATTATAATTTTATGTGTGTAGTAAAAACTTAACATCATGAAACATCTTCTAATGGGTGTCTTCCAAGTTTGTTCAAATAAAAGCCCTGGGGTTTAAACTGGCCCCGCTCCAGGGGCCTATATACATGTGAGCGACCTCAGGGCCATCATGGCCCTCTTGTATTGAGGATTAAAGTTGTTAAGCTATTTTGAACCATGCTTGTTTATAAAAAAAGTTTTGCTGCACATGACTATCTTTGATGAATGAAACAGCACTTGCATATTGTTAAAAGTTTGTAAAAGTACTGAATGAGGTATTTACATGTTTTCAGTTTGGAGGATTTTCTGTAGAATCATTATCTGAAAGGTTAATTGGTGCTCAATGCAGTGTTCTTGTAACTGCAGGTAGACACAAAGTGTTCAGTACATCTCAGCTTCAAAATTTTTGTTCTACCAACTGTCCCCATTTGTATATTTAAAAAAGAGATTTAGTCAACATGTATACTCATGGATGAGAGCAAACACTTTCAGTATAAGTCAACTAAATAACTTGTGATAATGTAGTATAATCATGATGAAATTATTGATTGGTTGTAAGACAAACATTTTTCTAAAATTTAAAAAATCATACAATTCAAGATCAGCTGCTCAAGATGTAAAATTAAGGAGACCAGAATTTTTGTGCTTTTTGGAAGTGTGTTTTAAAACAATTTATATGGACATTTTGGAAGACTGAGTTTGAAGCTTTGATATGTCTATTATTTATGGTTGATCTTTTATATGAAAAATAATGAACAAGAGAGAAAATTTTGTAACATTTTTATTTTCTTGTGATGTATTTGACATGTACTTGCCCCCTAAAGTTGATTGCATTATGCTCCAGATTTCCGGTAAAATGTTAAGTTATAAGTGTATCAATGTCATTTACTTTCAGTTTCTCTCTTGTTCTATTGAAAGATGAATATTGTGTTGATTATCTGTTTATTTACAGTTTGCAGTAGAGCGGAATGATAATTGTATATTCAATAATAGTTAACATACATGTATCCAAGTTGTAGCCATCGTGAATGAATTTGTCTTTTATAGGTTAATAGTCTTTTTCTTTTTTAAATTGAACTATTTAATTAAATGTTATAAAAGGAGTAGACTTGGATATGTATAGGTTGAATGTACAATGTTGTTTTTATTTTAGTTTGGGGGATTTTCAGCAGAATCATTAGCAGACCGTATTTTAGATGCTAAATGTTCAGTAGTTATTACATCAGGTATTACTCTTTTTTTTTTGGATTCTTTTTTATGCCCCTAGGCATCCAGTTATTGAACTGTCTGTTTGTACAATATTAACCTATTCCAGCAAATAAGATTATCCTATGATCTACCTCTACCAATGACTGCATACTTTAGTATAAATATTTACTAATACAGGGTAATGATCTTGACAAGTTACAGAACTGAGGGTTTCATTTTCCCCCTAGTTTATTCCTTATAAAATAGTTATTGTTAACCTTACTGTGGCAAGTAAGATAAAGTTTTTATTTGTACCAATACCTTCATATTGCATAAACTTTTACTAACCAAGGTCTAACCTATGTAAGTTTAATTGTCGCAGTATCTATTTTAATTCATCCAGTTATTTCTTTTTGAGCGAATAGGGAGAGTTATTGAACTCACCCAGGTGTCCTTGTCTCCTTTATTTTGCATGTTTGATACATTTAAAGTTTAATAAATGCCATCAGCTTTATACTGTATATATTTACCTTAACTATGTACATACTATGGCCATAACATAAGCAGGCATCCATTTTTCCAAGGAACCCCTTTATAGTTGAAGCATTTTGAAAAATCATGTCAGGGGCATATGTTTTACCAAACATATCTTTTGATTTTTTTTAATTTATTAAATTAAGTTTGCATGACTTGCACTTAAATATATCCATTATCATCACAAAATCCTTTGAATAAGGGCTCTGCAGACCCTTTAAATTGCATGGTTTATAAATGTAGATTAAAATGTAAGTCATAAAATGGTTGTAGTAAAGTAAAAGTTTCCCTGTGCATAATACAGTTCATTTGATGAACTTTGTATTCTATTCTATACTATAGTATTATACTATGGCATATACTGCGAATTCACTTATATTCGTGGGCATGAAATTTCGTGGTTTTATCAAAACGGGCATTTTCGTGGGTTCATAAATTCGTGGATTTTCATTTTCTTGTAAAAAAATAAATAACCTAGAGAAAAAATAATCTCACTATATCGCCGCGTATTTTTACTAACCGCATGTACATATCTTGACGTTTCACACAGTGCTTGTCAGTAATCTAAACCTTGCCTCTGGGCATAACAACTGCCGATAATTGACTGCAATTAACACATTTTTGTGACATGATATGCAGCTCTAGTCTACTGTACACACTGCCCCTGTGATTCGCCGATGTAAACATTGCATAATTTATACGATCCCTGACACGTTTTAACAAGCGAGTTTAAAAAGTTTACACCATGAATTTGTCTTACCATATTTGACAGTTACTACACGCAACATCACATCGACTGTGTAAATTTACATGCATATATATTCATTAATATGAGTAAATAACACGGGGTTGTGCGGATTTAGTCATCGGCAGCGTGTTTAAAAATGGTCGCACAAATACAGATTAAAATTCATTTAAACTGGATCTTTTAAAGACGACAATTCATCCGTTTTAGCGATTGTTTTTTTTAATGTTTTGTGAACTTCACTTACGACATTACTATCAAAGATTATTTAATTCTATAAGCAATTAATAAGAGCAAACTGACAATTTTCATTAGCGCTATTATTACACTGGTTTCCCGTATTCACTCGATTATGTAAAGTATTCTGGGTAACACGATCGAGTAGCCTACAACAATCGAGCAGTCTCGTGATGTGTATATACGATCGACATTTGTAACAGCAAATTAAGGACACATAATCGTCTTTTCTTTCCAAGTTTCTTAAATATTGCAAACCTTAACTATTTATAGATTTACTCTTTCACTTACTTGATTGTCTGTTTACCATCATAACACTATAATCGGTCGGAAAAAGCGTTGATGCATGTAAAGAATAGAGACATGTTTAGAAGTAATTCTAGGGATAAAGTTTCGTTGGATCTTAAATTCGTGGATTGACCTACCCACGAAAACCACAAAAATTCGTGCCCCACGAATAATAATGATTTTACAGTATGCTACTTATTGTTCAGTTTAGTTAAAACTATGAAATACAACAGAAAGTTAAGAAGTACATTCAGATTGGCAAAATGAGATACTTGTTAAATTATATTCACATTGCTGTAAATTTTAAATATATTATCATTAGGAATATTACAGTCAGTCACATGAATATTACTTGTACCAAAAGTGTAATGCAACTGTATATCGGTATTAACTATTCAAATTTTCTTTGTGACTAGATTCATTTTCATTTAATTTATAAAAAGATAGTAAGTCAGTTCCTGAAATGGTTTTTAATATTACCTTGCTTAGAGCCTCAGACAGCAAAATTTGGTAGGTGAAGTTGATACTTTATTTGAAAACATGATCAGTGTGCTTGTTTTTTCATGTTAAAGGTTTTTTGTCTGTTTATGAAAATACATATTCTGTTTATGAAGATACATATGTATTATTGTTAATTGATTATATGGATATTTCACAGTTTGTAATATACTTTTGAATGTTCATAACTTTAAATAAAAATGATAATATTTTAACTGAATTATTTTAATGAAGTATATTGTGAGATGAAAGTTAAAACTTTAACATATCATCATTACAGATGGAGTGTGGAGAGGAACTAAGTTACTGAATTTAAAAGATATTGTTGACAATGCAGTCTTAAAATGTGAAGCTGCGTAAGTTTGATATATTTATGTAAAGAATGAAGTTAAAAAGTCTTGGACATAAACCTTATTTTTACTTGAACAATTTATTATTTTTCAATGTATACATACAAATAATACAAGAATACAGTATATAAATTACAATAAGAATTGAGTAGAAAAGGTCTTAAGCTTATATGAAACCTTTTCCTGAGACTGCTTTAGTTATACCAGATGTTATTTAGTTTATTTTATGAATTTTCAGTATAATTTTACATATGTTTTTGTTTAACAGAGGCCACACAGTGGAGCATGTGATTGTTTGCCGTCATCTGTTACCTAGCGATGAAGTAGTGGTAGGTGAAGGTGAAGAGGAGCCTCGACCAGCAGTGAGACCTTGTCGTCAACTTCGTATTAAATGGCATGCCCCTCGTGATAAATGGTGGCATGAACTAGTAGAGGGAGCTTCTGCAGAATGTCCACCTGTATGGCTGGATGCTGAAGACCCACTCTTTATGTTGTATACAAGGTATCAAATAAAATTACCTGTGTTGTTATGTAACAGTATTTATATTTTAAGGGGTAAAATGTTGTAAATTTTTTTTATATATACATTCGTAATCACCTTTTCCTTATCTTATTAATGACTAAAGAAAAATAAGCCATAAAGGACACTGCCAATGGCCAGTATATGACCTATATAGATTTTGAAGTCAGTACTTAATAGGCCGTACTAAGGTCATGACTAGGGGCATCCTTGGCCAAGTGGTTAATGTTGTGGATTTCAAACCACTTGCCCATCACCGCTGTGGGTTTGAATCCTGACAAGGACTTTGAATTCTTCCAATTTGAGGATGCTATCCAGCTATCTTTCGGAACTTTGGTGGTTCTACTCAGGTGCCTGTTCTTGATTAAAATAATGCACAGAGGGCAACTGAGGTCTTTCTTCATCAGTAAAGCTCAAAAGTTGTTATATGACATATACTGTGTTGGTGTTGTAAAACCCAACCAAGAAAAAAGTAGGCAACAGTAAATAGGTACTACCTTTGCATGTGTCAGTGTTGGCCTGGCACTATAGTGCTGACACTTAAAAAAAAGATGTTGGATAGTTAACTTAAATCTAGTGGTGTTTCTCAATTTGTATATACTTGCTGATGCATAAATGTTTACAGTTTAAGTCAGTTGACTATTGAATTGATCATCAAAACTGATGCAAGTGTGTTTCTCTTTATAATATTTTACATTTCACATTCAACCTTCAACCTTATTCTAATTAACTAAATACAGAAAGTTGTTTTACAGTGGTTCTACAGGTAAACCAAAAGGAGTATTACATACACAGGCAGGTTATATGTTGTACTCTTCAACAACATTCAAATATGACTTTGACTATCATCCTGATGATATATTCTGGTGTACAGCTGATGTTGGTTGGATCACTGGTCACACATACGTCACATATGGTCCACTTCTAAATGCTGCTACCTCCGTTATGGTAAGTTATTGTAGAAATATTAACATGTAACCTGAACAATTTCTTAAATGGACATTGGTGCATGTATTAAATTTTTTTGAACTTTTTGTTATTGAGGTAAAAATGTATAGAACCAGGTTGAATTGCATGGTTGTGCAGATTGGCCGTTGAAAGGCTAATAACTATTGGTTCTCACAAGTTTAGGACCAAATTGGTTATTTTCTTGTTGATGTTACTTTTAATATTTCTTGTTTAACAAAATTCTTTTGAATTTTTTTAATGAAACTAAGTTGATATTTATATAACTGGATGTGTTAAAATGTAATTGTTTAAGCTGGATAAATTAACATTAGGTTTAATAAGGATGTTTTTCAGTATTTTGATAGTCAAAAGACTAATGTAAATAATATAAATAAAATATGAATAATAAAATACTACTTTAATACATTGATTGAAAATGATTCTCGAAATATAATGGTGTTTTAAATTTTTGATAAAATTTACAGTGAAAATATCAAAATATGACTGAAAGTAGTCAGATTATATTTGGACCCATATGAATTGCGTACATCATAAAATAATTGAAATTTTAGCAGAAACACTGCATGATATGTAAAATGTACATGATAACAAATAGCCTGTAAATGTATGCATACTATCTTCAGAAATGAAAAATAATTGAGAAATTTAACATGTAATTTTCAACATAACATAGTGATAATATGATGTGATAATGTTTTGAAAAAGATCTTAAGATATTACATGGCAGAAATCAGTAAAAATTAAATTTAAAACATTAACAAGTATGAAATAAATTGAAAAATTGTTTGTTTTGCAAATAAGGTCTGACTGATAATTTAATATGGTGTTTGAAAATATATTCGAATCTAAAACAGAGAAACAAATGTCCTATTGTGATAGAAATGACAGCGTTCTTTAAATATGTTTCAGTTTGAAGGCGTACCAACATATCCTGACCCGGGCAGATTTTGGCGTATTGTTGAGAAGTACAAGGTGTCCAAGTTTTACACAGCACCTACAGCTATAAGATCATTGATGGGATTTGGTGATGAACATGTTGTCAAGTAATTACAATTCTTTAATTGTGTTAATTGATTTGTACAAACATTGACAAGTTGTTGTTAAATTAAAAAAAATAGCCCCTAACTTGATTTTGATAGGAAGACATAGCATTGTCTAACAAATACAATATAACTTGCTATTTATATACAGCCATTATTCATCTTTTTTAAATGTTAAACATTTTTGACTATGTAGATTTTAAGTTTTAAGAACGTCTTAACTAACACAAGATCTTAGTTTTATTTAATAGGGTACTCGAGATAAAGTACATCTTATGTTGATAGCATCCCTTGATATATAAAAGGTGATAAAAAAATATCCCTTCAAACTGAAACGGATACCTGTTAAGTTTGACGTAAGAAATGCCAGTTAAAATTTTGTAGCACCTTTGAAAATTTGAAATTTTATTAAATTCTTACAATTTAAGTTTACGGCTATAAAGTTTTAAGGGTAGATTTTCAAGGCTGAGAAATAATTCATTTTAATTGATATTTTAGATATAATAGAGATTCTCTAAAAGTGATAGCAACTGTAGGAGAACCTATTAATCCAGAAGCTTGGTTGTGGTATTACAATGTGGTCGGCAACAAGAAATGCACTGTTGTGGACACATTTTGGCAAACTGAAACTGTAGGTGTATTTTAAATATCTAAATTTATGTTTAATGTAATTTGTTTTCATAAGCTAGAAAATTACAGAATTATTTATAATGTATTGTTTGATGAGGAAAACTTTATAGTCATTGTGATATGTGGTTTGCCACACTGTAAATTTAAGATACAGAATGTTGTTTTTTTGCAGTCATATACACCATAATCATAGGTAGTCAGGGAATGCATTTGGGTTGACAGCCTCACATTGTTAATTTGTTTTGTTTTTTGTGTTTATTTTCATTACAGTATATTAGCACTTAATTCAAACAAATAATCTGATTGAGTGTAATGTATGTTCTAGCTAATAGATGAACGAATGTACTGGAAATCCTCAACTGTCACTTAATTCAAAATTAATATTGATCAGCAAACTGTAGATACTGCAAGCCATGTATCTTTTCCAGATGTTACATCATTCTGATCTTTTGTAAATATTTAATAGGAGAAAATGTTTCATTTTCATTGTCTTGTTTTCAAAAAGCTCTTACTTGAAAACTGTTACAATTGATCTTTTAATTCATTTATGTTGTAAGTTGATGTTAATATAAATGTGAGCAAGCTGTTCTTTGTACCTCATGGTAAAGACAATTCAGTATGAATGAAAACTTCATTTAAGAGGAACATTCTAATCTTAAGCTTTTAAAGAATTAAAAGAAAAAATAGGCTGTCCTTCTTGCCCAGGCATCAATCTTAGCATTATAATTTGTTAAAGATTTTGCATGCAGATTTGAGTTTCATTAACTGCTGATGGTATTCACTAGAAGCTTATGATATATACATTTATTTGGTGTGTTAATGTACTGTAAATTAATTTCTAGATTACTAATTCTTGAATGGATTATTTGTAATTAATTGTAATCTGAGTAAAAATGCTCTCTCGTTGATGATTAAGTCAATGTGTTATTATATAATTACATATATTATTATAGGGAGGACATGTTATATCACCTCTACCTGGAGCCACACCCACAAAACCAGGATCTGCTGTGAGTAAACTATATGATGTGTGTTGTTTTCTAAAGGAATCAATTGACTCCATGTAATCTTCTTCAAAATAAAGAGTCTGTTTCAGGAAGAAAATGAGTATTAATTATATTAAAAGTTATGTTTACAATAAAAACCATATCTAATTTATATAATGTCATATTTATAACATTGTTATTTTTGAATAGCAATGCATAGATAGTGCAAAGTTTTTTTTGTTCATTATCAACTGTCTAATTTTATGATAACTATATGTTTATAAGCATATATGATTTCAGACATTCCCATTCTTTGGTGTTGTACCTGTAATACTAAATGAGGACGGTACAGAAGTGCAGGGAGATGGAGAGGGATATATTGTAAGTTCACTGTCATTTTTTACCTTGATTAATATTAAATGTAACTTAAATGAAACCTATTTTTTATCTTTTGTTTTTTATATGAAATTTTACATGCAAGTACCAATATTTTAATAGCACATCCTGATTAAATGTTATATATTTTATATGTGTAGGTGTTTAAACAACCATGGCCAGGTATAATGAGAACAGTTTATGGAAATCAACAAAGATTTGAGACCACCTACTTCAAGAAATTTCCAGGCTACTATACAACTGGAGATGGTGAGATCTTATTTTATGTTAATGTCCAATGAATTATATTAAATCTTATTATTTATGTTTGCTTTATAAAGCAGAATTGATGCTTCTGAAATATTGGCAAGTTCGATATATGACCTATTGAATTTTTTTATTTTATGTTATATATTTTTCCATCATGTTTTATAAATGTAAAGATTGGTATCTCAACTTTTGTGAATCAGAAAATGTTGTGGTTTTTTTTGGTCATTTTGACATGCAGTTATCTTTTGATCTTCCTTTCTAAAAGCTATAGATTGTTTACAATGATATTTGATTAATGGTATATAAGTAAAGTTCCAAAAAGTTTTCATAAAATGAGTATGCTTAAACTGGAATGTTTTTGATAACAATATATGACCATGCTATCTGTCACTTATGCTCTTAGTTTGATAATATAATACATTCGTGTATTAACATATAGGTGGACGACGTGACAAAGATGGTTATATATGGGTGACAGGTCGTATAGATGATATGGTAAATGTATCAGCTCATTTACTTAGTACAGCAGAGATAGAATCAGCTTTAGTTGAACATAAAGCAGTAACAGAGGCTGCTGTTGTCTCGCATCCTCATAGAATTAAAGGAGAATGTACATACTGCTTTGTTACACTTAAACAGGTACACACACATATATAATCATTTATCTGCTTAAATCAATTTAATCTATATTGCACACATGGCTCAAGAAATGTAAGAAATGTAACATTACCAACCTAATTGTGCTGCTAAATGTCTCAATGTTAGATTGTCCATTTTGAAGGCGGTGTATCACATTTTTATGTAGTGAAGAAATTATATGTTAAAGAAATCAGGTTAAAGGTTAATGCTTGAAATAAAATATTCATGCAGCAAGATAAGATTTGAACCAAAAGTCAGATCACTGTAAGAATGATATAATAATGGTATCAGTGAAAATGAATGTTTAGTTGTTCAAATGATAAGGTAGCATTTTAAAATTTGGAAATATGGTCATTATTAGATTATTTTGTTGGAAAGTACCGTTTTTATAATTAATATAGATTATACTTGCTATTATTACAGGGTTTTACATTCACTGCAGACCTCTTACATGAACTACGAGCTCAAGGTGAGAGTTTTACTTATATTCTCTGTTACTAATGTATGACATGAAAAAGACTTTTAATGTTTGAAACATATAAACATATGCATCTAAAGGTTCTTACATCAGGTAAGTGTTTTGAATAAAATAAAATCATGTAAGTTTCTATTGATAAAATCTGTTTCATTTATTTTGTCAGATATTTGGCAAGTTCTTATGATATTATAATTTAATTGTGAATATAAGTCTAGAAAGGTGTAGTTTTTATGCCCCCACAATGTGGGAGCATATAGCGTTGCACTTGTCCGTCCGTCCGTCAGTCCGTATGTCCCGAAATCTTGTGAACGCAACTCCTCTTAAACCGGATGGCAGATTTTGCTTAAACTTACAGGGATGAACAACCTTAATGTGTAGATGGTAGTAAAGGAAGAAATTTTCGCTGCGACCAAATTAAAAGAATTATGGCCCTTTGTTGATTTTTTCACTATATACTATGTAGAAATTTTGTGAACGCAACTCCTCTTAAATCGGATGGCAGATTTTTCTTAAACTTACAGGGATGAACAACCTTAATGTGTAGATGGTAGTAAAGGAAGGAATTTTTGCTGCGACCAAATTTAACATAATTATGGCCCTTTGTTGATTTTTTCACTATATACTATGTAGAAATTTTGTGAAAGCAACTTATCTTAAACCGGATAGCAGATTTTGCTTAAACTTACAGGGATGAACAACCTTAATGTGTAGATGGTAGCAAAGGAAGGAATTTTTGCTGCGACCAAATTTAACAGAATTATGGCCCTTTGTTGATTTTTATGCCCCCACAGAGTGGGAGCATATAGCGTTGCACTTGTCTGTCCGTCTGTCCGTTCGTTCGTACGTCTGTCCGTACGTCCCGAAATCTTGTGAACGCAATTCCTCTTAAACCAGATGGCAGATTTTGCTTAAACTTCCAGGGATGAACAACCTTAATGTGTAGATGGTAGTAAAGGAAGGAATTTTTGCTGCGACCAAATTTAACAGAATTATGGCCCTTTGTTGATTTTTTCACTATATACTATGTAGAAATTTTGTGAACGCAACTCCTCTTAAACCGGATGGCAGATTTTGCTTAAACTTCCAGGGATGAACAACCTTAATTTGTAGATGGTAGTAAAGGAAGGAATTTTAACTGCGACCAAATTTAACAGAATTATGGCCCTTTGTTGATTTTTTCAATATATACTATGTAGAAATTTTGTGAACGCAACTCCTCTTAAACCGGATGGCAGATTTTGCTTAAACTTTCAGGGATAAACAACCTTAATGTGTAGATGGTAGTAAAGGAAGGAATTTTTGCTGCGACCAAATTTAACAGAATTATGGCCCTTTGTTGATTTTTAGCTCGACTTTTCTATGAAAAGGGGAGCTATCCTACTCGCCCCGGCGTCGGCGTCGGCGTCACACCTTGGTTAAGTTTTTCGTACCACCCCACTTTATTTCAGAAGTATTACAAGTATGGCTTTGAAACTTACCATACTTGTTCACCATCATAACCTCCATCTACAGACAAGAGTACATAACTCTGTCAAGGTTTTTGACAGAATTATGGCCCTTTTTTGACTTAGAAAGTGTATTGAGCTTGGTTAAGTTTTTTGTACCACCTCACTTTATTTCAAAACCATTGGAGGTATTGCTTTGAAACTGACCATACTTGTTTACCATCACGACCTTCATCAACAGACAAGAGGACATAACTCTGTCAAGGTTTTTGACAGAATTATGCCCCTTTTTGACTTAGAAAATACATTGAATATGGGTAAAATCCACTTATTGCCTTAACCCTTTGAGATATTGCTTTGAAACTTTTAATGCTATTTCACATCATTACCCCCATCTGTACGCAAGAGAAGGTAACTCTGTCAAGGATTTGTTTTAAAAATTAAGGCCTTTTATCGACTTAGAATCTTGGTTAAGTTTTTAGTACCAGTCCACTTTTTGACTGAACTGTTTGAGATATTAATTTGAAAGTTGGAATACTTGTTTACAATCATGATTCCCAAACATGTCCAGGAGAAGGTAATTCTGTCAAAGATTTTATTTGAATTATGGCCCTTAACTGTCAATGTTTTGTATTATAGGCAAGCAGTGTTCAAGGGTATCACACAATTCAGTAAAATAATTCTTCACTAAATATCTTAATGCTCATGGCCATTGTTCACTTTAAAAATACAGAGATTCTTGTATAGCCTTTTACTGCAAAAACTTTTTTTATTGGCAAGCAATAAAAAAGTCGAGCGCGCTGTCTTACGGACAGCTCTTGTTTCACTATATACTATGTTGAAATTTTGTGAACGCAACTCCTCTTAAACCTGATGGCAGATTTTGCTTAAACTGCCAGGATCGATGAACAACCTTAATGTGTAGATGGTAGTAAAGGAAGGAATTTTTGCTGCAACCAAATTTGACAGAATTATGGCCCTTTGTTGATTTTTTCACTATATACTCTGTAGAAATTTTGTGAACGCAACTCCTCTTAAACCGGATGGCAGATTTTGCTTAAACTTCCATGATGCCCTTTGTTGATTTTTAGTTTTCAACTTGTGGCACATGTAGTCCAAAAAATATTTGACCTAGAGTCATAAGATTGACAGAACAGTGGCGTGTGGGGGCATCCGTGTCCTATGGACACATTTCTAGTTTCACTATATACTATGTAGAAATTTTGTGAACGCAACTCCTCTTAAACCGGATGGCAGATTTTGCTTAAACTTCCAGGGATGAACAACCTTAATATGTAGATGGCAGTAAAGGAAGGAATTTTCGCTGCGACCAAATTTAACAGAATTATGGCCCTTTGTTGATTTTTTCACTATATACTATGTAGAAATTTTGTGAATGCAACTCCTCTTAAACCGGATGGCAGATTTTGCTTAAACTTCCAGGGATGAACAACTTTAATGTGTAGATGGCAGTAAAGGAAGGAATTTTTGCTGCAACCAAATTTAACAGAATTATGGCCCTTTGTTGATTTTTTCATTATATACTTTGTAGAAATTTTGTGAACGCAACTCCTCTTAAACCGGATGGCAGATTTTGCTTAAACTTCCAGGGATTAACAACCTTAATGTGTAGATGGTAGTAAAGGAAGGAATTTTTGCTGCGACCAAATTTAACAGAATTATGGCCCTTTGTTGATTTTTAGTTTTCAACTTGTGGCACATGTAGTCCAAAAAATATTTGACCTAGAGTCATAAGATTGACAGAACAGTGGCGTGTGGGGGCATCAGTGTCCTATGGACACATTTCTAGTTTTTTATCAGAATGCCTAAAAAATAAAATAACAAAAGAAAACCCAAAAAGCTTGTAACAAATGATGTTTCCATACATTCTTTGGGGCTTTGTATAATGTTTTGCTGTTAATGAAGTATGATAAGATAAATTCTTTAAAAAAAGTCTGAAATAGTTTTGCGACCTAGTCATGTTGTTCTTCTTATCTCAAAATAAAACCTATAAGAATTCTAATTTATTTACAGTGAGAACAAAAATAGGACCATTTGCTTCACCGGACTTCATTCAGGAGGCACCAGGACTTCCTAAAACACGATCAGGAAAGATTATGAGACGTGTATTACGTAAGATAGCTGTAGGAGACAAGGATATAGGTGATGTGTCAACAATGGCTGATGAGACTGTGGTAGACAAACTTTTCCAACTAAGACCTGCCGATGCCTAATTTGAACTCTTTATTTGTAGTTAAACATCAGGTTTTAACATTTGTGGGTAAACTAGCATAATACCAAACAAAGCTAAACAGTTATTTTATGCATAATAAAAGTTGATAATTTCTTGGTATTTTGGGATTGAATATTAGCTTAAATAGCAGCATTGAGAATAAAAATTATGCAATTTGCACATTATGTATTTTAGTAGTGCACAATATTATATGGAGGAAAGATTCATTGTTGTAACCTGTAAACAATCTACTGTGTTAGTGTTCTATTATGTACATTCATTCTGAAATATATATTTCTGTTTCCATGACAATTGAAGTGGACCAGTATTTTTAAGAGTGAAATGTGATTCAATATATTTGGAATTAGAAAGCAGTCAAAATTTAATATTCACTTGACAATTTTTATCATACTTACATAATTACAACTGAGTTGTTTATTCATTTTCTAAATGTTCATCATAATTTTTCCTTTCCTGAACTTGATTATTTTATTTTAAAGATGACATAAAATTTGGCCAGTTTGGTTTTATTTTCTTTTGATATTGACTGCAAAATATGTAATAAACAGAAATGTAAATATATCAACCTGAAACTAACTGACTGTTGAAGATGGCATATTAAATAATAATTGATGATCAAAGAAGATTTAAGATATATATTATTCAATTGAAATTTCTTATACATTATTATTATTCAAATTGATTGATTTATTTTTGTACAGTTTTCATGTAAAATTTGTATTTGTCGGACTCTTAACCGACTATAAATAAAACCAGACAGCTTACATTTTACTACCTATTTATGAAAGTTTACATGTTGTTTTACTCAATGAATGTGCAATTAGTTTCACATTGTTTTAAGTACAGAGGTGGCATCTGTAAATATATGTTTATGATATATAAATTTAGTATGAAATACTTAATTCTGTTATTCTTAGGAAAATCATCTTTCTATTATTTATAAGCAAAATCATCTATTTTTCCATGAATTTCATGTTGATAGTCATATTAGTTGCCATATCAAGTAGTTTTCAATGCACGCGTTCCCATTTAATGTAGAATTAAAAAATAAAATGCGCTAAAATGTAAGATTTCCATCAAACAAAACAACCAGTTTAATTGAGACTTGTATATAAAACATTGTCCTGTAAATATATATCATCATCGGATACCCACGGTTAATTAACATGTATGCAAAAAATCCTGCGGCTGAGTGTTAATGGTGCGGCCGTGGGTATTCAAGGAAGATAGATATGTACAATACAATTTTTGCAAACGAAAGTATTTTGTAAGTTTTAAATCAGGATTTTTTCCAGTCCCAGTTGATTGTATGAATACAATTTAACATTAAGTACTCTTTTTGTTAATTCAGAACTTTTTTGGTCCTGTAGATCTGGCGTTCCTATGCAGATTATTATATATAAAAATGAAATGTATACTGTTAATAGTATAATACAAAACATATAATTAAATAGAGTAGATCATGTATGTAAGTGTAGTAAACCTAACAAAAAAAGTCCCCAAACTATAATCATGTTATAATATCATATATAGCTGTAGCAAGATGCAATAACAATCCATACTAATATAAATATGTAGATAATTGTTGTTCATTTTTGTAGATTGTATTGATTAGTAAAGTAGTTCTTGATCCATATTCATAAACATTTGAAGTGTTTTTAATATTTAAACTTCGGTATCTTTTTATCTTTACTTAAAAGCAGTAAATACTATACAAATTTTATAACTGGCTGAATAGTATGTCTTATTTATGTCAAAGATGATGTAAAGATTAAATAGAGAACAAGAAGTAGATATGATTTCAATATGTAAATCAATATGGGTCTGAATAAACTGAGGGTTGAAAAGTTCCCATGTCTAGATGGAAACTGCTTCAATTTGGTGTTTATATTTACTATGCAATCTACAAAGAATGCTTGGATATATAATGATCAAGTTGTTTCGATGTCATGAAGTAGTTATTGTTAAGTATATTATATACATTATTATTGTCCTTTAATTTGAATGAATACCACCAAGTATTGCACAATTTATAGATAATGAATCAATTTCTTGATAAAACCAAATTTATTGAATGTGTGTTAGCATGTCTGTAGGTTGAAAAGAAGAGCAATATACTATTGACAAATTATACAGCGTTTACTATTACAACAGTGTAAGACCGTCTCCAAGACGTTTAATTGCTACTTTTTCAGAAATATGAAATTAAAAATATTGATTGTATTTGGATATATTTATAAACCATGTATAAATATGCTAAGGGAAGGCAATGAAACTTTATAGAAATGTACAGATTTGATTCCCCTTTATTTCATATTGATTAGAGCAATGTGTTTTACTTGATGGTGGTTCGTACAAATTCATATGTTAGGGAAATAAGAAGTTCTGCATACATATAGATATAAGAACAATAAAAATTGAGAAAAAAATGTCATTTTGTGAATTTTGTTACTGTTTACTGTCCATTAGTTAATGTGGAAGTTAGCCATAATTATCATTTGGAAGTTTTATTTAGGCCTGTTACTATATCACTGGAAAATTACAATGTAACTGTATTGAAATATTTATTAACACATATGTAAAAAAGAGTGGTAAATTACTGTTTTTTGTAATATTTCAATATTGTACTTCGGTGTAAAGTAAAAATTGCCATATCATAACTATCACAAAGCATAGTAGGGCTATCTAAATCAACCCAGGTGTTGGTTGAACACTTTGGTTAAGCCACATTGTGTCTCAGAAGCAAATAATATTTTAAAAAGGGCAAATATGAGTTTTATAACGTTTAAATAATAGCTTAAGAGCGTGTTAGATGCTTATCACCGGAAGAAAGTATGGATGAATGTGAAATAGATTGTCATAGAAACAAAGTAGTAATGTCACTTCCATACAAAATTCTAAATCACTTTAAATGTACCAAGTCCAAAAGCTTCTAATTCTAAATCACTTTATATGTACCAAGTGCCAAATAGCAACAGAAGCAAAAATAGTAACGATAAGAGACCAATGAGTATATTTCTGGAAACTGTAACAGGACACCAAAAATAAACTGCTTTTGAACACTAAAAATAAAACAAGTTTTTGGGTATAATAGATATTTCAAGTTTTAAGGTATTCTTTTAAAAATTAATGCATGTTTTTGGGATCATAATGTGAGCTTATATGTGTAACTGTGATTCTGCATTTTGAAGGACTAGTGTGAGGGTGGGGGCTTTTATTTGTAATTTATTTTTTAACAAATTCAACTAACAAAGATTTTGAATGAATAATGACGTTTTGTGAACTGTGTGCAAAATTTTGTGTGCAATATCAGTCTTCAAAACTTCTCAATGTATTGAAAGTCGATACATGTCTTTGCACTACTATCCTAGGTCAATAACTGTGACATGAAAGTTAACAGATTTTATATTGTAATATACTGGTGTACCTACTTTTTCTTCAAACCTAATTCACCGAGAAACACTCACGATTGCAACTTGAGTACTCGTATCATTACTTAAGGAAAACGTTTTAAGTAATATAGTAAGTGAAGATCAACTACAAAGGATATATGAGAAAAAAAATAACAACAACATAATACTTAACTAAATTGCGCATTTCATTTGGTTTAATGAGTTTGCTACTGTGCAGTACTTCAAGTAGTTTTAAGTGCATTCGATTCATTATCTACTTGAATACTGTATGACCATTTTCGCAACTGTAAGGAAACAATATTCTATTTATTCATATCAATTTTAAGTAGTCGTCATATACATGTGTATGAAAATTTGACATGTATATAATAAGTTCGTAGTTTTTATTAATCTACACGTATTGAAATTACTTAAAGATATACTACGCTCATCTTTGAACAATATACTTTTATTGCGGTTCTAGGGAGTTTTATTGAATATAATAGAATGCACATACTATATGGAAGCTGCCGTCCAGTTTTGAATTGACACTTTCTTTTACAGCACAAGCCAACAACAAAGAAAAAAAATAAACAAAAATGAGCCGTTCATTAAAAACGGAATACATAGAGGATATTTGTTTGTGTGTAAGATGAATTATATTTCATCGAGTGGGCTTTAAAAACAATATTCTCACGAGTGGCGTGTCCACGAGTGAGAATACTGTTTGTAAAGTTCACGAGATGAAATAAAATTACATCTTAAACAACAAACAAACAAATTTTCTTTTTATTTTATGCTTAAAAACAAGTTAAAACGAAATTTCCTCAATATTAACGTTATTATTAAAATCTGTTTTCTCCATTGAGAGCCTTAAAAAAAGTCGAATTTCTCATTAGATACAAGAAATCTTGGGCTGAAAAATAAGTTCGACAATCGATGTTAAATGGCGGTGATATTATTCATTTTATTAAAAAAATATGAATGATCGCTAGTTTTAATAATAAAAACAAACAATTCTAGTAGGAGAAAAAGTCCAACCATCCATCCATATTTCTGTTACTGCGAATTTATATTAGACCTGGCTTTGTTAAATTAAAGCGGCCGCCATTTTTAGTGTATTTCACGGGAGGAAAATAATTGTGTTTGATTTAGAGGGATATCATTTGGATTTGTTAGTCATACACCTTTTTAAAAGAAAGAAAACTTATTCGAGGATTGTAACAGACAATAAATAAGTGTTGACAGACGTGTAAACATTCAAACACCGGTTAGGAAAAGCCTTACGAACGCTGGGTTGTTTACTTATTCTACGGGCTGATGACTGTTGACATTACTTTTCAAGTTTTTATAAAGCATACGGCAGTTATTGCTCGTAGGATACTTAAATTTGCCCAAATGTCATCAAGAGTAGTTTTGCAAGTGGAAGGAATGTGGTTTTTTTTTCAGACTGTACCACATGGGGAAATCTTAAAAAAGTAGTTTCTTCATTGAAAAGTGTGAAATTATATTTTGATAATTTTCACTGTGAAATTATCTAATATAATTTTCACGGATAAATCAGTAATCCACTGAAAAGCATAAAATAAAACAGCATTATATGCATCTCATGAAATGAAACAATCAAAATGATAAAAATCAACAGGTAATGACTATGTCAATATACATGTGTATTGTTAGCTCGACTTTTTTTGCTTTGCCGACCGCATACTTGTACCTGGATCATAACTTTCTTAGTTCTTGGTTATTGTCTTCATACTCGGCCATAACCACCCTTGGGACAGGACTTTTCAGTAGACCACACTAACCTTGACATTCATCCATAAACGACCTTGAACTTTAAGGTCAAATGTCCAAATATTGCTTGTTCTTGCTATTATTGGCTGTATCTTTGTTATTTTTGAATGGATTGTCTTCATACTTGAACATAATAATCTTGATGGATAGCCCTTTAAAATAACCAGACAGCATTGACCTTCACTCATAAATGACCTTGACTTTGAGGGTCAAATTATTGAAATTTTCATTTTTTTTTTTGGCTGTAACTGGCAGTAACTGTTCTTTTCAAACCAATCTCATTAAAATCACATCCTAACTGTCGCTTCACTATCCTACGCTCGTAGCGAAGAATAATGGAGCGAAAACGAGGATCTGATTTTAATGAGATTGTCTTCAAACTTGAACATAATAAACTTGAAGGATAACCCTTTAAAATAACCAGACAGACCTTGACCTTCTATTATAAATGACATTGACTTTGATGGTCAAATTATTGAAATTTTCATTTTTTTAGTTGTAACTGGCTGTAACTTTGCTATTATTGAATGGATTGACTTCATATTATATCAGAACATTCTTAAGGACAAGACCTTCTTGTTTACCAAACTCAAATTGACCTTGGCTCTTTTATGACCTTGATCTTAAATTATTCAATTTGCACTGATTAGTGCCGGAAAATAGTCACATATAAATTTTAAAGAAACACAGTCCATGAGTTACTGATCTGCGATCAGAAAATACAAAACTGCAAGATCCGTGTGAAGGAGAAATAGATTTGGGGACACTCGGACGTTCATGCAAAACATGAGAAAATTAACTTAAACCAGATTGTTGTATATTGTTATATCTAATTTTTTTAATACAGAGAGCTATTCGCAAAATGAACAACAGCTGGCGTTATGAATGAGAAAAATGTAAAAAGACGAGTATCCAAAATATATTGATTTGAATTGAGTCTGACACAACTTTTGTGTCTACTTCTTCGTTACTTTAAATGATTAAAACTCTCTGTTTGGTCACTTGAAACAACGAGGACAAACTCTGTAAGTGGATATTCCATAATTTATATTGTTAACTTTTTTAAATCTTAGTGTAGATATGCTTTTTTAAAAAGAAAATCAAGGTAGAAGTGTTTTTTGTTACATTCTATTAGACCATTAAAACTATCAATTGTTATGTTATTACTGAAATCACTGATTTGTCAATCTCTTTAAACTTTAAATTCTGTTTAATTGAAGTATTTTGTAAAAGAAATTTAATTTTTAACAGATTATATTTAAATCAAATTGAGAAAATCAGAAAAGGAGAGCAGTCTTAGTTACTTTAGAAGATCTAGTCAAGATAAATATTGAATTTAAGTCCTGACCAAAAGAAGCGATCAGATGGAAACGAATTTAGGAACTTTTGTTCGAATGTATTTGCATGTCTGTCTTAAACGAATTCTTACACGAATGAGGTTAACTATTTATTTTTCATGATGATACATGACATGCAACCGCAAAGCTAGGAGGTGACCCATATTCTAAGTGGTAAACTATGACAGCTGTAATTGGCAATTTGCTAGCCAAATGTTTTATAACCATAATGTCTTTCTGTCCGGTGCCTGGTTGAAAGAAAATCAGGCGTTCATCTTATTACAATTGAAAGGTGATTGACTTTTTTTCCTTTTCAAGCAAGAATGTCATATCAATGGATGTTTATGTAAATATCACACAATTTAGAGAAATGTTTTTGATTTACATGCACTGAATTTCTAGAGGTAAATTTTCCCGGTTATTTATCTCAAAGGTGATAGATAAAGCTTAAAAATGTTTAAACGGCACGGTTTTGAAGTTGGAATGTGGCATAAATTTCACGCAAACATAAGATGAATAGCATACTTTGCCCTTCTATACATTTGCGAACTTTATAGTCAATAAAACATTTGTCTTATATTTGTATACACAAAGTGTTTCATCATCTTCTATCGCCTTTACGCCACAGTCGCATATATTAGAATCATTGATATTTATTCAGGTCAGATTGGTTATTTAAATCTTAAGAATCATAATGAAGATCTAATGGAGTGTTAAAGGAACACAATTTTGATTTTCTTGAAATAGTTTGGCTCATATGGAGGCATGCAGCTTTAAGCTATATTCGCAGTTTGTTCGCAATTTCCATAGTATCATAAGCGTTTTAATGACCCTTTAATTTAGCGCTCGTAGCCTGTACAGCGTATGAATGTTAAAGATTCTAATTGAGATAGGGTTTGTTTTAATCA